CAGTACAGATGAGACAGCATGAGCACAGCCATAGCGGCTTCTTCATTGTTTTGTTGGGAGTGCTGGGGTGACACTTCCAAGAATATATTCAAAGCCTTATTTATTTTCTAGTGGATGAGAAAATCAAGGAAAAATATAGGACCAATGTGCTGCCTGGAAGGGATTTGCCATCTGTGAGGGTTTTCCCACAAGCTGTAGAATACATGAGCGAAATAGTTCTGATGGATATGTCAGAGATACAGTCAGAGGCAAAGACTGAATAACTGGAATATCCTATACGTAGGATGGATTTTATAACCAAAGAAGAAGTTCATGGAAGTTGTGAGAAAAACTTTTGTTCATGTAGATATAGTTACTTGACTAAATTTCAGCTGTTAACAGTAAAATATCAGAAAGGTTTTGAGAACATATTTACGAACAGAACTTGTTTAATTTAATAACTTATGTTCCTTAAAACACACATGTCGCCATCGTGGGTGAACATAGTGGTTATTTCCAGAGTGTAAAATGAAGCTCAGACTCAAAACTCAGCCCCTGTCAATCACAGCCAACAGGAAGGGTTTTCAGTTTGTAGTGAACCACAGGTCTGGAGAGATGCACTGTAAAACATGAGTGTAGACGAGGTGCACTGTAAAAACATGAGTCTGGGCGAGATGCACTTTGCTGTTTGGATGAGATGGTCTAATCCCTCATTCATTCAGAAGTGATCCAAAGTAGAGAAGAGTTCACATGGAGACAAGACATTTCTGCTCCAGAAACCATTTTCAATTTATAGAATAGAAGATAATGCTTTTATTGTCACTATACACTTGCACAATTTACACTATACCCAAGCATAATGAGACTGAAAGCAACTCACTCTTCAGTACAGACATTTATGTGGGATATTTACAATGTAGTATAAAAGAGTATAAAAGAAAGAATAGAATAAATTAGTAAGTACTAGTGCAAGACTTAAAAAATAAGTAATAAATAAAGAGAGGAGGGCGGTGGCGTGTGGTACTGATTATGTACACAGAGGTCCTATATACAGAGGTTTATATGCAGGGTGATATGGCACATTAGTTATACACTTTATGGCACAGATTCCCTTGCTCGGTGTTTATATTGCAGTAGAGGTTTCCTGGGCTGGGACACTTACAGATATATATTTGATGGTTTGATACTGGTCCCTGGGTTTCAAACAAGTACCATCAAATCAAAAATGGCTTCTGGATGGGAACCAAAACATTGTGACTGCAAAAACAGTGTCTCGATGGCTACCGCTGACACCTTCTCTGTATAGGTCTGGATGAGTTGCACTGTTAAAACACAGAAAGAAATGAGTTCATTTGGGACAGTTGTGATTTTCAACACCCTACTGACTCATATTTCTGTGTTTAATATCTCTAACTACTTGCATGCTGTCATTTGTGGTCTAGAGCTCCAAATCTGCTGTAATCCAACGTTTCATTGAGAGTGAGATACTAGCTCTTGCTCAAGTCATATTCATTAAAAATAGTGTATTAAATCCACTATAGGAGGGGTTTAATCTGGATATCTGATTAAAAGATTTCTGTGTTTATAATTCAGTTACACTCTGGACCTAGTGTCTCCATGTGGTTATAGTAGTAGAATTGCTACACTCCGAGTATATTAATCCGATAAATTTGATCTGTTACTCAAAATGGTTAATTGAGGCACGTGAGGTCACTAACCTTTGTTTACATCTACAGTAACAAAACAAACTGAATCAGAAGTAATTCACTGTTTACTTCATTTTATTTTGTGTATCACCCAAATTTTCTTTGTATGAAATTAATGCCACACTTTTATAGATTTTACCAGATTTGCCAGTCTGCCAAATGATTTAAAGTGACTTAAAGGCTACGTGAATGCAGTATTGCAGTATTATATTTTTATCGATGACCTATTTTTTTGTACTATCTTCCTGTCTATAATGCTGCACCTTTCTTAGTTTTATTTATTTGAAGTATTTATAATGAGCTCTGTTTGTACTCAGCATTTGCCTTTAATCATAGGGGATGCAGTCCCAGAAATCACATTACAAATGATGTGACTTATTTCAGATAGAATTAAGTTAATAATGGCTGTGGTCTGGTGGTATTACTGAACTCTCCAGGCATTTATGGATTTAAGCTGTCTGTACTACCAAACTTGTCTCTCACGTGAGTTTAAAATATGCTTTATTTGTATGTCTACATGATTAATTTTAATGACTATCTCCCACTCAAATCATGTTTTGTTGATGTTTGTTAATGTATTTCTTTGTCCAAACTTTCCATGGGGACTTTCAACATGCAAATCTCTCTCCCAACAAGCTACATTTTACATGGTTGATATGGAAGTGCAAACCGCAAAATACATGAAATGTGTTTAGTATACAGTTTTATTTACAAGAGCATTTGCATATGCTATGTTATCTATTGCCTTTACAAAAACAGTTTGTTCTTCTAATTTGAAAACTAGGTTATTATTTTAATATTCTGATTTTACTGGCAATAGTGCCCAGAAGACTTTTATACAGCACTGTGATATTGCAACTGAATCAGATTCTTTACCCAAATCATTTAAGATGTGGTGAACATAAACAAACATTTATGTAACAACACATGGCTCCTCTTTGTGTCGTCTTTGTCTGAATGCTGTTATTTCGTTGGTATGAGATCTCTCTGGTTTGCTCCCAGCACAAACATTTTTCAGGTTAAAAGTCAACCCTTAAGGTTTAATGTAAGCCCTGCATTATTATTGTAACTAGTCACATCGTTGCTTTGATTTATTTCCACTCATAATTATTTTCTCTTGATTCTCAGAGGTTTGATACTGAAGCAGTGAAGTAAAGTCAACAAAGTGCAAAGCGGTTATCCATCTCTTGACCACAACAATGTTACACTTCATTTCACTGTTTCCATTTGAAACAATAGAGCAACAACTTTTTCAATAGCTAATTAAAACATATAGTCTGGAACCAGGTTCTCTGTGCAACAGTTCTGGCACAAAACTAAGTTACAGCATGGATTTCTGCAGAATCACTTTTTTAATATATCCCCTCTATTGGCTTTAGGATTGTTACACTATAATCATGTGCCGGACCCTCCTGCATTTCAATAGAGAATGGACATGTTTGTCACTGCATGCCTTACAAATTTGGCTGCCAACTCTTGGCCACCACTGATGACTAGAGAACAGATACGCAAGTCTTCATAATTACACAACATGAAATCAGTCAGTGTTTGGCTGTTGCCATGGTTAGTTATTTGCACCCACCAAACCCATAGCAAATGGCCCAGGGGGGTTAGCCGAATGTTTTCTGCACAGACGACATCATGACAGTTTGTCATGGACACATGTGTGGGCACTTATCGCCCTGTTAGCTCGTCTACATGAGTTTGTAGGCCACAGAAGTATGGCTGCTGTGTCGTGTGTGGTTACCACTGTGGAGCCAGGATCCAGGAGTGTGAATCACGCTTGTAATTAGAGAGCACTATTTAAACCACATGTAAACAATTAGCCTTCAGCACAGCAGACATGTAGTTGTGCATAAAGGAGGAATGTTGCACTTTTGTAGACCTCAGCCTAAGAGCGTGCCATGAATATACCCGGAAAGACATCAACACTTACTGTTAAGATTATTTTGGATTAGAACAAAATATGTACTAATGTAACTGATGATAAGAGGAAAAAGACGCATTTCTGTTGTGCAGTCTTGTCTACCGCAGAGGAAGCTCAAAAGAAAGCAAAATGTTCTGCTCTATTCAGACTTTAAATCTGGATTCAACAAAAACAACATCAAAGATTGCTTACAGACTGTACTTCACTAATACAGAGCCCAATATAAATATATTAACACAGGTGAATTTGATTATGAACCAAAATAGATTTCCCCTTTATTCCTGGGTGTTCTCAAATTCTTTTCCTGTATAAATACCAATAATACTAACTAGGCCAAGCACAATAAACTCTATAGCAGATCTATCTGCTTCAGTCTGGCAAACTCTCACTGCGAAGACGAGTTTTTGCCTTCAGAGCACTGTTGTTCAGGCCTGATGAAGAGGCATCTGGTTTTCCAATTAATGATTTCTTACCAACTGCAGCCTTTCACTGAACTTCTGAGAATATACCATCTAGCGCCTGATTAGCTGTCAACCCAAAGATAACCCAGAATACATTGTCCTCATGGAGGGCCAAGTCACATGGTCCGACCACACAGTCTCTGTGCATGTCTTTTTGTCTTAATGCGTCTTCTTCTGCAGTGATTACATCTCATTCTTTCCCCTGATCTCTACTGCTTTGTGTCTGTCTCTTGTCTGCTCCGAGCCACCCATCCTCTTCCTCATAAAGCCTCTAAAGCCCTGCATTTTCCATCGAGAAATGACAAACCACATGATTCAATTGTGCAAAATATTTGCAGAATAAATGCATAGTGGGTTTTCTTTTCAGTTTTTGTATAATTTAGGTAAATAGGAGATTTAAGATGATGACAAAACGGAACAGTGTTAATTTTGTTGCCATTTTGTTATTTGTACATGTGGAGGAAGAATCATAATTAGTTGCAATTTAATCTAATATATTATAAATATTTGCTTGTTTAAGTGTATAAACTTATTCAATATATTTGACTGACTTTTTGTTGATAAAATTATTAAAACTAAACAGTAGAACTTATAATAATAATTATTATAATGCATTTTATTTATTGGTACCCTTCATTTCTGAGGTCACAGAAAAGCAAAGAACTAACCATAGAATGTTCAAATTATTATATTTTGAAACACAGTAGTTTGATGAGTTTAGAATTATTTCATTTATTATATCACATATTTTACTGAAGATGATTTATTACATTCATTAGCATTACTGATAATCAATTGCTTCCCAGACATGCAGAGGAATGCAGCAGGCGAAGTGTTATTTGACACATGACAAGTCTCTGATAAGTCTTTTGTAAACAAGCACCATGTTTGCTCATTAGAACCTCTTTCACTGGTCCAACTGCAGTTTAGCGGTCACATTCCTGGACATTAAATTGTCTGCGCTTCTTTACCACAAAACTATATTTTGAGGACAATGGCTACAAACCACACTAAAAGACTTACTACATTTTTCATTGTACTTTTTGTGATGAGTTTTCTCTCTGCCTCACCAGAAGTCTGCACTAACTCCCTCATACCAGGAGCTAAAGGTAAGGCTAACTGCTAAGATGCTCATTGTCCAGCTCTGTTTACTGTATAACTAAATGGAAAACTCTAAGGAAAGACCTGTGTAATTTGTTTTGGAGTTTACGATGTTAATCATGACAATTGGGTGCATGCAGTGTCCTGTTGTTTACCAGCCTTGAGTCAGCTCCTTCATAGACTTTGCAGGGAAAGCCTCCTCACAGTATGCCTGTTCTTTTATGACATCCAGTAGCTTGTTTCCCTGCTGATTCAGACAGACAGGCCTTATAAAGTACACAATAAAAAAAGCATTACTGAAAACCATGACATGCACTTTTGGCTCCCAGATAATTCAGAGACTGTGTTAGGGGAGCTGACATCATGTACAAACTGGGGAGGTCTGCTAAATGGAAAAGCACCACTATTCCAAAGTTGGATAAGCTGGCTTTGATCAGAATTAGAAGAATTTCTTTTTCGTATTCATGCATAAGCGATCAAAAGTCAGTGAACTGTTTATGCCTGTACGAAGCCTGGATAAAAGAGGTTGTTTCAGTGCATTCAGAAAGTAAAGATTATCAGGGAAAGATTTCACTTTTTACCAAATTATGAAATGCCAGAAATAATGAAATGACAAAAGATAATATTTTTGGTTTTCCATTTTTCTCTTTATTTTCACTCATTCATTCATTCACCAAAATGAAACTGAATTTTCTGAATTCTCTGTGCCATCCTTGGATCACCCCCCAAAAAGTCTGGACATACGCCTGAGTATACCCAACATAAAACATACTGACATGATGTAAGCCTTGGATAAAGGGTTTGCTTTGATAAACGCAAAGAAAAAAAGAGAGATATGTTTTCAGCTCCACCACCTTTGTTGGAAAAAAATCATACTAGCGTGTAATATTTTGCATGCTGAATTTCCCACTCTAGTGATGTAGAAAATGTAAAAAGTCCCATTACAGCCATGTGTATTTAGACAGCTGCCACTAAACAGTGAGATTATTTGTACAAGACTCATCCAAGATATTGTAGACCACAGAGCCAGCTTTGATTGTGTGTACAGGTCTGCAGATCGGAGTGGGCGTCCTATGTGTATTTTACTATGAATTAAAATAGCGAAGCAAGTGTCTTTTCTTTCCACACAAATACTTTTTGACTGGTGCAAACTTGAGAGTAATCAAGTTTCCTAAGAAAATGTTATTCATGTTCAAACCATGTATTTATTGTTACTGGAACATTATACAGTGAAAAAAAAAAAGCTATGCAATTCAAAGTGCAAAATTGTGCAAAATTTGAAATGCTAAAACCAGTTATTTTCAAATTTAAAGATTTTCTAGTTTGGTTCCACATGTGAGTTCTGTGTGTTTTTCATTTAAAATTGGATTACAGAAATCTGTCTAAACATGCCAAGGAAACATGCCAAAGAGAAGAACAATCCATTTTCTTAAGTACCACTCCAGACTAATCAAGCAGTGGTTATTTCAAAGCACAGCACTAAATAAGATCTAATGTCCTCCTGGCAAGAACTACTTGAGACATAATTGCAATCCCTAATACACACTCCAAATGCTTTCTGATGCCAGAGAGGGAGGAAAAAACCCACAAACCTTTCTCAACACCTCATTAGAACTTCCAGTTAGATTTTATTAATACTTTTTATATTTCCCTCTATCAACAGTAATCCTTCATACACAAATATTGGTCTACCCTGAGTAAATATTTGTTATTTGTGTTTTTTAGGTGACCAAGGTGAGATTGGAGATGTTGGGGAGGAAGGAGCCATAGGAAAAGCTGGTCCGCCAGGGCATCGAGGTACCAACAGCAAATATGAGACTGAGAGATTAGCATTAACACGTTTAGAATAACCATGGGATTTTAATATGTAAGGTAATTCATTCAACTGTGTATCGTGACAATAGTAGCATGATACCTTACCAACGCACAAACATGATCATTCATTCATTCATTCATTATCCTCATTGATGGGTTTCAGAAGCATAGCAATTAACAATTTAAAGATCCTGTTATGCAAAATTGACTCTTGTGAGCTTTAAACCAGGTTACAATGTTGTTACCTTATCAAAGCATACCTAGAGTTGGAGTTTTCAAGTTAACAGCTACCTATTACCTTTTGTTCAATAGACATTGGCAGTTCCAGGGCTGAAATGATGATATTTAGTGAAGGTGTAAAAGAGTTTAAAAACATAATGGAGCGCTTGTATTACCACATGACATCACAAGGTGGAACAGGTAGAAAATATGCAGGGTTTGTAAGTTAAACATGTTTGAATGAAACAAAACACAACTCCAGGTATGTTTTTGATGAGGAAACAACAGTATTACAAAAGTCAGAAAATAGCGTAAGGACCATTTAGGACCATTAGTCCTTAAAATGGTGTGTGGTATTAACATGCAAACTGAATAGTCCCTCATATTTTATTCTGGCAGAAAATGAATATACTGTCACCTTTTCCCTCTGTCTATGTAGAATAGGTCTTCTTCTTCAGACAGTGGTTATGGCCCATAGCTAAACCCAGGGCTGACCTGTGTCTGTGCAGGAAGCAGATGTGTTAATAGCTGCTGGATGAGCTGTGATGTCTCTCCATATGTGTCTCAGATGTGTTCAGTGTGCATGTAAGCCAAACTCCCAAATGTGTTCATATTTGCTGATAAACTCTCATAACTGAGCAATGTCAAAATAAAATCATTATGCTGATTATAATGGTGTTACTCATTACAAAGGAAGTCCATATGTTATTTCCTGAAAAAAGATACTCCATCTGCTTCTGCCAAACCCAACTTCTGCTACTACTATTGTTTTAATAAATATCACTACAAGGATATTTCTATATTAAGAGTAAGTATAAGTATACTTTTCCTCCAGTATTTATTTATTAGTTTATTTAATTATTTACTTCATAGATACAGTGCATATTAATGAACATCTGTAATAAAAAAAAAACAGTGTAAATATGCCTGATTATAGCAAAAAAATGCTCATTTCCATGTGTTATTCCTATGCAGGTGACACAGAAGACAATACAAAATAGAAAACATGTATAAAGAGACATAACATAGAACAGTAAAAGGCCAGATTAAAAGTGTTGCTCCACTTACACTTGCCCTTTTGCTCTTTGCACATTGTTTTTGCACAGTTGAACACACTATAAGTCTGACAGTGTAAAAGACAAATACCAAGACGTTTGAGTCTCTTCCAAAATTGTAGAATAAAAGCATAAAAGTATAGCCTATACTGCACATGATCGCCAGTAAACTTTTCAACTTTGGTTTGTGCAACTGTTTTGTATGGCTTTTGCTTTTAACAGTGGAGATTGTTCTGTTGCTTCTCACTTCACGTCAACACATAATACATGGATTACCTGTCAAATTCAAGGTAATTTTTACAATAACGTGTGGGCTTACAATTCTGGGACTTATAGTAAAAAAAACAATAGGCACACACAAAAACATGTCACTATGCACAACAGTCAAATTAGCAAAACAAATCTGAATGTGTAACTTCTGTAAAAGACGTGTAAAAGCTAATCCCGGTTTCAATTTTATAATGACCTTACGTGACACAACAGTCAAAATAAATTATCAAACAGCAGGTCTTGAATGTCAAATGCAAACATCATCATTAGTATATGAGAACCTTTGAAACAGTGGGAGAATCCAGACGTTAGACCAGTTGGAGAGGCTGGCCATTGTTATGAGAGGAAGAACTGTTATCTAGAGTCAAGATGTCGTTTAACTGGCAAAAGTCCTGCAATAACAGCACAATGAAAGACACGACTATAGCAACTGTACTGGATCTGTTTGACTGAATACATGTTGATTCATCTGGTAGCAATAGCAACAGTGATTTTGAGTCTGTTGTATGAAATGAAATGCCTTCTTAATAAATCTATTCATCTGTGCAGGTAATGCTGGAGCTGTGGGGATTAAAGGGGACATGGGGCACATAGGAAAGATGGGACCAATGGGAGTCAAAGGTATTTTCTTTTATAACTAACTGCACCTTATTAATTACCCTTAATAAAGCATGAACAAAGACTTAACTTGTAATAAACAAATAGTTTATTAAAATAGAAAAAAATAGAAAAGAAAGCTTAAGGGGCTAGTATTAGGATATTAATTAAAACTGAATCATAATAGACTGTTTTCTCCATTATAAATTAAATATTAATTCATGCTTTTTTAAGGCTATTAAAAGTCTGTTTTCTAATGATGCTCAATTATATTATGTCAACATAGTCTATTTTATATATTTTTTCTGTTACAAGTAAAACTGCATAGCCATAACTTTCAAATCTAACCTTGTTTTAGTTGACACTAAAGAAACTGTTTATTAAGTGTAGTCTGTTTATAATATTATGTTTTATATTCGACATCTGAAGTCAATTCAAATAGTTTATGTAAATAATATAGGCTACTTTTTTTTTTCTTTTTTTTTTAAGAGTTTTATTAATGTATATTATACTGCCCTCTTGCGGAAACTTGACACATTGCAGCATCCATTCACAAAGAAATGTAGCTCCCAATTTGATGTGTTGTATCCAGGTGACAAAGGTGACCCAGGCATGGATGGCCCTGATGGTCTTAAAGGAACACCAGGTGAAAACAACAGTATATCCTTCTTTTAGTTTCTATAGCATTTATTTCACTCATACATCATTGCCTTCATTTAGGCTCTACCTGTGACTGTGGAAAGTATAGGAGGCTGATTGGACCTATAGATATCACTTTGGGCAAGCTAAGAAATGCTGTCAAATTTGTAAAAAATGGTATGAGCTTTAATTTGATCTTAACAACTCTATGATAAAACTTGAATTCTGCTCCCTGCGCAGTGCTGTTGGGGCTGAGAGAGACAGAAGAGAGGTACTATCTTCTTGTGAAGGAGCCCAAGATGTTTCAGGATGCATTAATGAACTGCAGGCTCAGGGGAGGGGTCCTGGCCATGCCTAAAACCCCCAACACCAACCAAATCCTAGCAGACTACGTCAGCCAGTCCGGCCTCACCCGGGTTTATGTTGGAGTGAAAGCCAAGTCAGATATTGTAAGTGCTTTAATGTAAATTATACCCATAGAACCTCCTGAAATGTTGTCAGAGGATACATTGATAGCAGAAACTATAATGTTGTCAGTATTATGGATATTTAAAGGCATACTGTGTAACTTTCCTGGGGGAGGGTTGTCTCGACTGAGATGATATCACATTGCCTGGACTGTTTTATGTATGTTTCATATTGTTTAACATATTGTCCAATCTGTATTGTTTTAATAGAATGGGACTAGAAGTTACATGTACTCGGACTCCACCCCCCTGCAGATGTTCTCAGGCTGGACTGACAGTCCTCCCAGCACAAACTCCAGCTGTGTGGAGCTGCTCAGCTCTGGGACATGGGCTCACACTCAGTGTGATAGTGCCATGTTTTTTATTTGTGAGTTTCCCAAAAGCAGAAGAAGAAGGGGAACAACACCCACGCTGCTTTCCTGAAGCACAATATGTACCATGCATTCCTGTAAAAGTATTGTGCTATATTTATGTTGGTTTTACTTAGTAGTTCTTATTACTGTTTAATAAAATTCTGTAAGAATATTTTTGAACATGATTCTTCCTGTATCACGCTCTATATAATATGTTTTATAGCTGCTAATAAAGTACTGTATGTCTAAATAAAAGCTGTTTTTGCAATACTGATTTGCAGTTTTTTCAGTGTCTGGCATGAGGTGCACACAAAGATTTGGAAGTGCAAGAACAAGTGCAGATACATTATGCCAAATAAATTAAACCCTTTTTTTTTATTATTGCTGGGATAGATTTATTCCACAAATAAGTCCAAGATAAGATGACAAAAATATACTCACTATTTTATTTTATATATGATAAGTACAACGCGTCCTACTAGAATTATTAGGAGTTTGTTAAAACTGTTTTGTCAAAATGATATGAATAACATAATCTTGCTCCTGAATACTTTCTTTACACTTCATCAAGATAGTGTAAGGTTTATATGAGCAACAGTTTCACTAATGTCTCAGAGAGCAAAATGTATTATAAGGGGACATGCCACTGTTATGTCATTGAAATTATTTGGCTTGTGGACAGCATCATCAGCATTAATCTGAAATGTTTTTTACTTACAAAGCATTTTATACCATCCCAGGAAATGTTTTTCAGTGTAAGCACATTTTGTTTTACTGGTCAATTCCTTTCACTTCGTCTCTAAAGATGTCAATAAAGTATTCCAATATAGATGAATGCAAGCTCAATTTTGATGACAAAATGGACAGTCTCAGGCAACGTTCAGGTAAAAATGCATATTTTTCATTATTGAAAGGAAAGCTGTAACTTTTAACATATTTGTTAGGGAGGAGGTTTGAAGTCAACACCAAAGCTATTTGGATATTACTTGGAGTGCTGGGTGTGACCTTGCTGATTGTGATTGTAGTTTTACTCAGTCATAGTAAGTTTGAATACAATAATAAAAACACACTTCAAAATGACTGATCATTAATATTTGTATTTTACTGTGTTATGACAGATTATGTGGCGGTCTCTTCTTTGAACTCACAGCAACAAAAATCAGATGAGAAAGACACTTTTATGGCAATGGTATTACAGGGATTCAAAAATCTGACACAAAACAACAAAGGACAAAATATGGCAGGTGAGTTCATCTGTGCTTCAATATTCAGCTTTTTTTAATTTTTTATTTTATTAAATGTGCACTATGCAGCTTTCTCATGGGGTTCTCTACCTATTATCTCTATAAAGATGTCATAATGCTTTTTATTTATTTATTTTGCTTTTTTTCAATTACATATTTTGTTAGAAATATCACTGAAAACATTAGATATTAGAGTGAGCAGGATATCCTCTCCACACATTTCCCATGAAACTTGCCCTGGTTGTACCGTCTTCTCTCCATGGAAATATCCAAGTTTAATGACATAGTGTAGAAAATTCTAAGCAAAGCCATTAAAACTTTACAGTGACATCTCGCTGGGGATGTTCTAATCTACATCATTAAAGACTGTCAAAAACATTTTAAGCTGTTTTAAGTCTGAAAACTCAAGGAAAATGACAACAATGATTTAAACAACACATCTTCAGGTGTGATCAGTAAGAGTGTTCATGGCCCTGTAGCTTGTCACTAGAGCTGCTTGATTGTGGAAAAAAATCATTTTCATAATTATTTTGATCAATATTGAAATCAAGATTATTCAAACGATTATTTTTTATTTACACAATGCATTTATTCAGCATTTCTCTCTCTCTGTTACTGATAATTTATGCAAAACTTTCAAATTGAAAATAAATTTAGGCTACAAATATGTACCTTAGAACAGTTTTGTGATGTGTAAAACAAAAAAATGAATAAAATATACTTTGAACATGAAGTAAGGCATACAAAAACATAAATGTATCCAAAATAAACTATATATCCAACTGTTCTACAATCTCTATATTTAAAAACTAAAATAAATAAACTTATTTATAAAAAAATATCCCAAAATAAACTTTAAATTGTTTCAACTCGATTATAAGAGTTTGGAGATCGTTTGAATAGACACACAAATCGAAATCATGATCAAAATTTATTAAACTGAACAGCCTTTCTTGTGACTGTAATTTTATGTGTGGGAGACTTGTTTAACATCACAGATCATCTCACCTTTTGTAATTTGTAGTAAATCAGCTCTGCCTGGTTAGATTGTGTTAAAATAAAGATCAGATTAAAGTCAAATAGAGTTTGTGGTAGAACAGTGCCTACAGTTAACATCACACCCCCAGGGAATGTTGATGACAAAAGCTGCAACATGTCCTCAGTATAGGCCATAACAGCCAATGACATCCTATTTAAGTTTTGACATCAGTAGCATGAAGCCTCTTCCCATAACAAACACTTAATTCCTCAAGGCTTTTGCTCGTCTGGATGGATAGAGGTGAACAGAGAGTGCTACTACATCTCTCCTAAGGGAACATCCAAGACCTGGACAGCGAGTAAGAGAGACTGTGAATCCCGAGGAGGCCGTTTGGTGATCATAAAGAGCAGGTCAAAACTGGAGCTCCTGAGTCTGTTTCACCTTAATATCTGGGTTGGACTGTCTGACAGGGAGAAAGAGGGCACATGGAAGTGGCTTGATGGGACAGGCCTCGAGGGGTCAGCATTCTGGTTAGAAGGTGAGCCGAATGACGACAATCAAAATGAGGATTGTGCTCACCTGAATGTGATTGCAGCCGAAATTGGGTTTAATGATAATAATTGTGAAAGCGTCTTTCCATACATCTGTGAGACTTTGGAGTGAAATGGAAGTATTTTCTCAGTTTCCATAACTTTCCATATCCTATTACACAGATATAATACAACATTTTAAAGGTCCTATATTACACAAAATTGACTCTTGTGAGCTGTATAATGTTGTTACCTTCTCAAAAACATGGAGTTGTGTGTTGTTTCATTCACACATGTTTGAGTAATACTACATTATTAGTCTGTCTGCATCTCCAAAGCTCAAAATGCTTTGTTCCACCTTGTGAGGTCATGAAGCGGTAGTTTTCAAGTTAACAGCTACTTTTTTACCTTTGGTTCAATAGAGATGTTCAATTCCAGGGCTGAAATGAAGCAAAAGATTCTAGTGAAGTTGTTTAGAGTTTAAAAACACATTGGAGCATTTCCTTTATTACCACATGAGATCACAAGGTGGAACATGGTGTTTTCTGTTTGAGAGAATAACTCAGCCTAAATATGCAGTGTTTGTGTGTTAACCCTTATATTGTGTTAGGGTCAAAATTGACCCGTTTTCAATTTTAGGTATGTAAAAACTGCCATTTGCTTTTTTGTACCGGAATGAGGCTTCATCTAATCCTCAGACACAACTATTTTAACGCAACAAAAGAAATTTTCACCATTTTAGTAAATTGTAAAGGTCTGAAAAAAAAAAAGTGCCATCTGTGGTGTTACTGGGTCAAAAATGACCCGGCAGAGAATAGTGGCTGTTTTATGCATCACTTACAAGCTGTAGGCTGCTCTGTGGATCAAATATGGCTCAGTGTGTCCCACAACACACACATACACACACACACGCATGCACGCACACACACACACACACACACACACACACACACACACACACACACACACACACACACACACACAAAAAGGTCGTCTTCACCCACGTGAACTCTTCTCTTTCTCGCAGCACATTGATACATTTTGAATCTAAAATAAACATTGTCATATATAAACAGGGTTTTAGTGAGATATTATCAGCTGCATCTGTTGCAGCATCAGTCAACATGAGCAGGTTCACCGTTTATGAGGCGCTGGATCAGATCTTTGGTCATGACAGTGATTCTGAAGACAGAGAGGAAAGTGAAGCTGAGGAAGATGTATCTGAGGATGAGGATGAGGGCACAGACTGAATAAAAGAAGTGGACTAAGTGAGTGTGACGTCAACCACAGCGTTTGGCGCCGCTCAAATGAAGCTCACGGTTACAGGAGCGAATCTAGAGCCAGGTTATATGTTATGAATAGGATTTTTTGGACGGACAAAACAGCCCAAAAAAAAAAAAAATAAAAATCAGGATCATGTGTCGCAGGTTAATACGTATATTTTAAGACCAAAATGACGAGGTTCACAGCAGCAGGTACAGAGGGAAGGACGACAAGATCCTAACATAAGTCAACTGGAGCCAGAGTCAGAAGGAGCCGGAAGAGCCTCCTGGAGAACTTTCTATTTGGAACGCGGTGGCTACAGCGTTAGTTATGTCCATTCATATATACGTCTGTGGATGAGGATGAGGTTCAGTATGACCCTGAACAAGAGCACACATGTGGTGAGGAGAACCCAGATGTCACAAAGACTGAAAGAGACGTCTTCAAGTCAAGAAAAAGTGACAGTTCATGGTCACCAAGCCTCTTGACACCCAATATAATTATACTTATATAAATTTGATTTATATTATATGTATTATATATAAAATTATTATGATTATAGTATAATTATATAATATAATTACAAATTTTATCACTATAGGAAATATAATTAGTGAATTTAAGCAGTTTTTGTAATCAAAAACGACTATTTTAAGATAAAAGGTCTGTGCAGCCAAAAAATATAATAAATAAATAAAAATGTTTCCATGGACATGAACACATACTAAGTCAGTTATGAGGGGAAAAACAATATTGGATGATATCTAGTGTTTTTAAGTATTTTCAGGCTGAGTTAAATCACGGGTCACAATTTGACCCGGTAACACTAAAGACGCGTGTAGCTTTCTAACACAATACAAGGGTTAAACATGTATGAATGAAACAAAAACACAACTCCAGGCCTGTTTGTGAGGAAAAAAACAACATTATACCATCGATCAGAAGATAGTGTAATATGGGCCCTTTAAATCATATCAAAATGGCTATAATCACAAATAAATGTAGAAATGCTAAACATGCTGACCACTGAGCTTCTATTGCTGATATGTTGTTCTCAGTATATGTTCATTTATTGGACTTTAACGTTTCAGATAAGCAGATGGCTCAAATGGATGTGTGCATATACTTAAACCAATAAACCAACTGTTGTAACCTATCTGGTGTCTTATTCTTTTCCCAAATGATTTCCAATTTCCTTTTATTTGTTTAACACTTTATCAGACCAGGCGCATTCTTGAGAATGTCACTATTGATTGTGAATCAAGTGATCCGTTTGTGTGCCTTGAGAACAGAAGAATATAATGTTATCCCTTATTTTATTTTATTTTTTTACCCTACCAGTTCCCCTCGCTGTACTTAGCACTGTGCACTCAGAGTTAGAGGTCAGACAAACACTGAAGCCTGTAATCGAAATAATAGCTAAACATTAACTGACTCACCCATTCCAATGGAAATCCTTTACATGAGCAATAAAGCAATTGTTACGTGTATTTGTAACAGCATCTTAACTACCTATCAGGTAAAATAGAATAAATAGTCTAATAGTTGCTAGTTCGCCCCTCCGTGGTTATTAACTGTAGCCTAAATACATTCCCCCCCTAAATGAACCACCTAGGTTAGAAATAGGCCAACTATGGAAAATGCTGTGTTTATTAGAGATGTCATATTTGTGTATTCTATTCTATTTTATCCATACATATAGGCTACAAGACTTTAAAGTAGCCTTATTATATATATTTTTTAATCATCCCAAGGCTTGTGGTGTTATAAGACAACTGCCGCCTTCATTTGCTTCTTGCCTTATAAAAGTGTAATAATTAGTCATTGTCCGAGCAGTCCTTGGCGCACAGAACGTCTTTGAAAGCAGCACCAGCCCAGGGAGTGGCTGTGCACCTGTCCAACCTGTTTGGGGGACACATGACTCCGCAGGAATTTTCCCGGCTCCTCTGGCCCATTGTTTAGTGCAGTTTTGAGTGGAGAACAGAGGAGCAGAGCCAGCGGAGAGGGGCACAACCAGCCGCGACACGGAGAGACGGAGAGATGTCGGAGCAAGCCACAAACCCCGCCGCGACCAACGCTGCCACCGCCGCTGCCACTTCGTTTCCAGGGGCCACCATTTCTTTACCTTTGGGACTAGGAGTTCTCAGGACATACTCCGGAGCGCTGATAACATTAGAAATCGTGAGTTAGTTGTTATCTCTTCTGTACTATATGTTTTCAAACGCTATCTAGTCATTTTAGCCAATAGGTGATCAACATCCAAATAGTGGGTCAGTTACGCACGACACGCAATAATCAAAAAGTCCAGTCTGTCGAGTTTGTTCACCGCAAACACGTTGCCAACTCCGCGTCTCTCAGTTGCCAGGTTGCATTTCTCTTTCATCAGTTTGACAACCCATGATAACATATCCTCAAGCTAAGTTTCCTTGGAGCAGATTCAATGGAAGAAGTAGAGCTTGGCATGCGTATTGGATAATTATTCAATGTGGATATTTTAATCCACAAGGTGACCTCTAAACCACTGCTCCATTTCTTTTCAAAGGAGCTGATTTTTCCGCGATGTCTAAGTCAGGGGACAGATTTTGATATCATAATTTTTAGTTCAAGTCGGTCCATGGTCCATGTTGTGCCTATGTTGTAAGAGTTTAGCGCAATATGGATTAGTAGTGCACCATAGTAGACTAAAGATGTTGCATGGATTAAACAGTTTTACCAATAGGACAGCCTAATTATAGCAGTTTCGCAAGTCACTAAACCCAAGGTCTACTCATTATAAACTGAGCAAAAGAAGAAATTGACTTGACTGAAGTTGGTCTCACATACAGGTGGCTTATCTTGGTCATCCACTGTTATCTTCTTCCTTATCCACTGTAATGAGTAATGAGTCAATTGAGGATTTCACGTGTCGATTTTTTTTTGTTTTAGTAGGCTAATCATAAAATCACAAGTTTGATCTCACAATATTTTAGACATTAAGATGTACTGGTGCACTGAAGATATTTGTATTGCAATGTCAAGTTATGTGTGTTACAGGATAAGTAGATACTTAATCTTAATCATCTGTGTTTTGTGTATCTCTCCAGCTTCTTGGAGGTCTGGTATGGATCCTGGTGGCCTCCTCCAATGTCCCAGTGCCTCTGCTGCAGGGTTGGGTCATGTTTGTGTCTGTCACTGCCTTCTTCCTGTCCTCTGCCTACCTCGCTATGCTAATCACTGGCCTGGCTGACCGCGTCAACATCGACTGGAACGAAACTGTAAGACTCTTAAATCATAATCTTACATATAGTGTGTGGCTGCACCTTCTTGCAGATTTGCTTGATTTCAGATGACGACACATATAGCACAACATACTATATCAGTTATAGTTCATACAAATTAAGGGCAGATAAATATAGTTACAATGCAGATTTTTGTTGTTAAGCATCACAGTCTGGTAATAATATTAATAATAAAAATTATCACGTTCAATATTTGTGTTTTTTCTTTGGGATTCTTCTTTTAAAAATACTATGTAATCAACTAGAAAACTGGCTCTTGGCCCCATCCAGTTTTAATGCTCTAAATGTATGTTTAAATTATATTCTTGTTATTAAAGTTAGTATAGTGAAGTGTATAAGTTTATAACCCAAACAGTTTCCAAATGTCCTTTCCAAAAAGTAAAAATTACTATATAAATAAAAATACTCAGTATATATAGTCAGTACGCAGTACTGCATCTGTAGATTTTTGGTGACAGACTTGCCTTGGTGTCCCCCTCTCTCTCCTACAGTAGTGTTGTAGTTAGACATGTGGGCTTGTTTGTTGTGAGTGAAACAAAGACTGACGTGAACCATGAGCTCACACTGAAGCTCAACAACAAAAGCTGCTGTTGTTCTGTTTGAACAGACTCCTTAAACTGCTGTGACACACCCTCTCTCGATCTGCTCTACTCTTTTTAGTACTACTAAACCAACTCATATTTGCTTTGGTCCCATTCCAGTTCTGGTCTACGTTTAGTTCTGGGTTCATTTACAGTTTAATCCCAATATTTCATGTGCCGATTGCGTAAGGGAATGTACATTTGAATTTCGTGAAATGTGATTTTGTGTTGTTCATATGTCTTCATATGTCATAAACAAAATATTAGAAGTTGCAATATTTTATTCACAATACTTTATAAGACTTGAACAATTAATAATCTTATATACAACATCATATGGAATACACTGAGTTTTCATACCTTGGCGATTTAGGCTACTTTAGTTTATTACAAAGGTATATGAAAGAGCTGGGTTTAAATACAAATTAAGCTATTTCTATGTAACTAGTAAAATATTTCGTTTTGTACTGGGTGTGTTGCTGAGTACTTTGATCAGAGCTGTGGAAATAATTAACAGTCAGCAGAAATCTCTTTAGTTACAATTTGGTTGAAATTTTATTCTTTTTCACTGGTATAATTAGTATTCCATGCTTCTCCACAGGATGTGCTTTACCACTTTATGGCAGTGCTCTTCTACTTTGCTGCTTTTGTGTTGGAGGCAGCGACCACAGCAGCCACTGTCAGCAATCAGTACATAACCACAGCAAATGGCACCCAGAACATATGTATTCTCTTACCTCGGGGCAACATTTTCACTATCCTGACTTCCAATCAGTACAACATCAACGTGGCAGCTACGGTAGGTCATGCATATTCTGGAGTTATGAAAGGCTGAATCATTGCAGAAAAATATAAATTCCAATAACGAATATCCATATCCATGTAGCCCCACATTACTTAAATAATGTAATAATAATGCATTTGTGTTTCGCTTATTATGAATAGTATGGCAAATTCATTTCAGTTGTGAATAATACTGCAGCCCTTTAATAAGAAGCACAACTCTGGGAAGAAAAAGGACATGGCTAGAATTTCTTTAAAGCAAATTTATATTAGAGCCAGGGATGATAGGCTGATGAATGACATCACTGAAAATGCAAAAATCAAAGCTTTTGCATATACAAAGTAACTTCTCAGGTGCCAGTTCATGGGTTTGCTATAACTTTATGTGTTGACTTGAGAACATTTAATAGTCGGCCTGTATATTTCCAGTGTTTATATAGTGTCAATTATTGGCTGTATAGATCATGTCTGATTTTGTCTCCTTGTGCTGTCTTTCAGATATTTGCTTTTATCGTGACTCTTTGTTATGGCTGCAGTATGTTGATGGGCTTCAAGAGATGGAGAATGTAACTCCAAAACAACTTCATGTTTATACATTTAAACAATATAGATTTTAAAGCTGTTATATTGCACTAGATATTAGAGTCGCTTTTGAATTGCCTTTTTCATTTCTACAAACACATGCCCCGGTACTAGTGATTGGTACTGGGATATCTGGTGCTATATGAAAATGTAACTAATATAACATTCTTTGATAACAGTTTTTTATTGGTCCTATGTGTGTTAAACGCAATTGTGTAGTATTTAAAGCTTTTAATAATTGTGCACTGTTTATTATTCAGTATTTTAGTATTAAGGAGGAATAAAAATACCTCCTGATGGAAAGGAACATCAGAGGTATGACAAATTATTTATGCAAATTATAGTATAGTATATAGTAAGTAATTTTTATCCTGAGAAGCTAGCAAATATAGTGAACCACAGTAATCTGTTGTGCCTTTAAAACAAGCCAAAAAAATTAAAAACATAACATTGTACATTGTCTTAGCTGTGTCTAATATTTCACTTATTTTTGTAACTATGTACTGTTAATAAACCACTTGATATACATGTTTAGATCAAAACCAATAAAACATTTTAACTGTATGTAATGTCTGTTTTGGTCCACTATGGGTCACCAATTCACCATCTCAAGCATGACAAAACCTTGGGTTAGCGTAGGAATACACTAAACATCGATTAAACACATTAATTTATAATTTTCTTTTAATTTTTGTTTTCTTTTATCGTTCAAAATTTTTAAATATATTTTCTGTATATATTTTTTAAATTGTTTTTGTAAGTAGGGCTTAATTGAGAAAGTTTTCTTTTTTTTCATTGATGTTCTGCTTTTGGCCTCTAGATGTCACTCGTGGCTGATAACAAAACCACTAAGCGTGCCTTCATCATGGCTATTAGGATACAACATCAAAACATATTTTGGTAGAAAATAGAGCATGGAAGTTTGAAGTTTGAAGAATGTGTTACAATGGGATGTATAGGTCTACAGAGGCCATTTTTATTTATATTTACCCACCAGTGGCCATTCTAGCTACAATTCATATATATGTAATGTAAGATATAATACTAGAAACATCAGAGACAACACTTTCAAAGCGGCGTATAGCGTCCTGCAGCACTTTTGTATGAAACCATAGACTAGAGCAAGAGACTAGAGTGGCCCTTGGCTGGGCCGGATGTGTACGTGAGCTTTCTTCACAATAAAGGTATTACCTATAATTTTGACTCTTCATTGAAATTACCTATAATATATTTGAAATCAACACAATGTTCTCAAACCCTCACCTCAAGCTCACATGAGTATGATCAATGAAAAGATAAATATATTTTTTATCAAATACCTGTGCTGACACCTAATGCACCTGGATGCACCTAAGGGGGAAAGAAAAAGAAAAAAAATCACACATACAAACAGCTTAACTCATGTACAAATAATTGTGTATAGTATGTAAATTACAATGGAAAAATATGATAATATGGTTACTTAATTTGACATAGAATGGGTACAAAGAAAACACGTTTTACTACGAACCGGAAGTCCCCAAGTGGCCTGCGCAGCTTGACTTCTTTCTTCTCGCCTTTATTTTTTCTCGGCCAGTGTTTGGGAGGCAGTGCGTGACTCCAGCGTCGGCGTTTACCTCAGTCACTTGGCAAACTCGGAATAACCATTACTGCTTGATTTTTCCGGACTTTCTTTTCCTTTTTGCACCGTGAGCAGATGTCCAGAGGTGTGCAGAGGGGTCAGCGATGGGTTTTAGCGGGTCTCTGCGGAGGGGAGACGGGGATTTAAATGCCTCTCCTCGTCTTTATCGCTCCTTTTCTTAGTGAATGGCGCTCCACTAAAAAGAGTTTTGTATCGCCGTTTGCGTTCGTGTCTGTAAACTTTACTCTTTATTACACGCTAGTTACTCCTTTTCTTCAGTTTTAAGTCATATATATTTGTCGGTGATCGATCGGAGGTGGCGATTAGAAGCGAGGGCTGACCGCTGGAGTCGTCCCGAAAATGGAGGTTGTGATAGAGAAGGAATGCAGCGCGCTCGGAGGACTCTTCCAAACTCTTATCGCAGACATGAAAGTAAGTCCGAAGCTTATTATACAGAATTAACAATGTTTCCACCAACTTTTAAGAGTGTTTTAGGATTATCTCTTTACATTATTAACTTGTTATTACCCAACTTGTTGACTTTAAACTTACGACAGATAAACTTTGGCCATCTGGGAAACTTGCGCGCTAGCTGAGGAGTTGTTGACTACTCTTTAATCTTGCGCCCTAACCCTCATTTAAGAAACTTACTATGATTGGATACCATTATTTGACATATACATTTTTGATTTAATGTTTTATTTTTTGTATGTTTTTGTCTGTGCTGGCTTTCACTAGTGTTTTCATGTTTAGTCTATGGCGTGAGTTTAGAAAGTCCCATTTTCTTTATAGACGACCCATTATTGTGTATTATTGTGTATTTTACTGTTAATGTATGCCCTAGATTCGAGCTTTAACACTGTGTGACTGTCATGAGAAGCAAATAGGGCAATGGACAATTATAAAAGTAGGGCATCTTATTTGGATCCTCTATGACAGAGTTCAGATGATGGCACAATTAGACGATTTCCCAGCTGTTGTAGTGCCTGGAGGAATGTAGAGAATGTTGCTGTCAGGGAAGAGTAGCCCACAGGGTCTGAGGCTCTGACACGCGTGGGTCAAATGGCGGGCCACCATATATATCTAGAGTTTGTTATGAATGCTGCACAGTACATGCAGTACAAATCAGTCAGGCTTTTCACAACAAATACCACTATACAAAATTAGGAAAATGTTTTAGGGTACCACCAGAGCTTTAACTAAGTTTAAACTAAGTCCATAAAGACTTTGGATATAATAGTTAAATGTCATCTACACTTTCTTGTCTGTATCGATTGGTCTAATCCTGGCTTGGTCCTGATGCAGAGTCCTGCTTTAGTCATGGTCTAGTCCCAGTTGAGTACTACATTTGATATGATGTGTGCAAGTATAATATTCAACACTTAATCAATGCAGGTTGCTTCAGACTAATACATCACAGTTGTAATAGTAATTTAGCAGTGACTCGGTAGTCTACTGTATAGTGGTATAGTTGAAGAGCTGGCTGTGAATTGAGTTTGTTGTTTGGTGCAACAGCACGACTAGACATTCCTCGAGATTGTGATGGTCGTTGCACAGTAGTGACAAACATTTGGTATATCCGGATCTCACTATGTCATACCAGCACGCTCCCACTGTTTCTCAAAAGGAGTTTTCAGCTTGATCCATATATGTCCTAAAATGACACAAAAAATCAGACAAGCAGTAGCCGCAAATATATTACCTGAATATTGTGTTCATTGAAAATGTGTTGGTATTGACACACACGCCATTGTTGTACATCACACAAAATGAGAAAAAGTTTCGAGTACTATATTAATTTACTATTTATTAAGGAAATAAATGCAGACGCATGATCCATAGATCATCTTTTTGACACAGTAGCTTCAGATAAATATCAAAATCTGATGAAGGACATCACAGCAGCACAGACACCACATTTTTATTTATGCTCTTAAAGGGAAAACACTTGAAATAACATCAGTTTTATAATATATGGGCCGCTCTTATGGACACCAACCTTCTGTGCGTGTACAAGTGTTGTTATTACAAATATGGGAAACGGTGAGTCTAGACTTTGCTAATCTGTATAGCCTTGAAGGGAAGGTGAGGCCCCCATAACCCCATGTTGCTGCCCTTGTAAATACTTATGTAACTGTGTGAAAAGTAAATGTGTTCTGATGGTTCACATGTGCTTTTCCCTCACAGAGCAGTTGCCCAATTTGGGAGGACTTTATCACCAAGGCTGGCAAACTACAGTCTCAACTCAGGTAAGAATCTTAATATGTAAAATTGTCAGTGTTTTAACTGACAGCATTGAAAAAAAAAGTTATGTTGATTGTACTCTACAGTTCAACAACCAAAATCAGTACTTTTTCCACACTGTCTTCTCTTACCCAATCTGTAATTTATTGACCTTTGAGTTTGAATTTAGAACCACACGTTCCAAAACTAACTTTCAACAACTGCACACAGTAGTTTAATAATTTAACAATTCTCAGCAGAGGTCATTACTACCTCTATTAAAGTTCTATTCAAGCCTGATTTAATTTGTCTTTGTCATGCTGTAAACCTAGCACACCTCTTGCCAAATGTTCTCACTAACAATGATTCCCCAGTGCCCTCTATGAGTTGGTTTTAAGTGGCCACGTGTCTGGATGCAAACGTCTTATGACAGCTGAAATAAAAGGCTATTGTTCCATAAGTACTGTAAGAACAGATCTCCCGCAGCTCATAATTATTCTTTGATTTAACGATACATGGCAGTTTCCTTACCTCTCAAGTGCCCACGTGTCCAGCTACAGAGTGATTTTGACAGTTGTATAAAGGCTCTGAGCATTAACAATACTGTCTCGGGGCCACAGGAAGTCCCCATCTTCACATTTCCTCTGTGCTAAACGTGATTAAAGGTGATATGTTTTTCAAGTGTCCCATCATTTAAAGGTTAAGTATGTGACCCTGCCATGTCACATCTTAGGTAAGAATCTTCAGACCTGTTGCTAATCAGCATGACCAAGTTTGCCAAGTAATGTATGTCTGGTCAGTAAGATGACTAATGGGCAGTTGTAGGTATTTGGTAAGTACAGTTTAAGAGCTAGCTACCTTATAAGTAGTACATAAGTTATGTGTGTGCTATGTTTTCTGGTGGAGTCAATGTCAATAACCTTTTCTCTCTGGAAAGGGTGATTTGCTTGGAATGTTTCACAATATGGTGTAAGTTATCTGTCTTTCATTTATTCAGTTTGTGGAACATTTCAGCCAGTCAACCACATCTCCATGTAGACAAGATTTCGGATCCTTCTCCTAAAAATGTATAAAGGTCTAATGCTAGATCAAATAAATAAAAAAATAATAAACATATATTTTTAAGCACTAAGTGGGAAATACACAAAATATAACTCACTGCAGCACATGAGCCTATTTTTAGCAATATTTTAAATACCAGAAACACACCTTAAATAACAGCATATCAATGAACTGTGGCTTTCGTGGTATAAATGTCGGTCATTCATTACACAACTTGCAAACCAGGGGTGGTAACTGCAGTATGGCTTTGGATGCATTTATAGCTCACAGTGGTTGTGGCATACTTAGCATACACATGGTATTGATGCTGCTATTGCTGGAGTGCGAAAATAACTCCCCTATGTTGGCCTGTTCATGGTGACCTACAAATAAAGTATTTTGCTTTAAAGCCCATGTCCAGTCTGCTCAAACTACCACTAAACCCCACATAGGGATCCCTGTAATCTGTGTAGGTTCTGGGGCACACACCCGCCTTCTCTCTCTGCTCTGGATAAGTGACCAGCCAGCATATGTCTGTGTGTATTTAATGACGTCCCCAGGCAAAGTGCTCTGTAATTTAGCTCCCCTCTCACAAAGCGACGAGGAAATCAACCAATTAAGTGTTGGGCATGTTCTGTCATTTATTCTTCTCCAAATATGGCACCCATTTTGGCTTTTAGAGGCTATTGAACACCCTCACATACACACATGTGCGCACAAGTTCAGCTTTGAAGAAGGAGGGTGAGGACATTGACTGATTTATAATCACAGTCCCCTTTAACTTGTCAGTGTTTGGTGGGCTATGGTTAATGCAGCTGGGTAAAAGCTATACTTTAATTTGGGGCTCCAAATATCAACCACACAAAGTCTATATATAGGAGAAACATATATTTAGCATTGATTACCAATACCTTTAATCCATTTAAAGATATATTCTTAGAGATGGTTGAATATGACAATCCAGTGCACTTATTAGAGATGTTAGATTGGGCGTAATGTAATCTGTTTTATTTAGATGTACAACCTTCTAGTAACAGTCACTAAGAATAGATCACCGGAGGTCAAAACTGTAGTACTTAATGTAAAGGTCCATTGGGAGTATTGTTTTCAAACAGGCCATGTAGTTAAGTGCAAACACACTTTATAGGTGTAGCACACATAAAAACAGCATTCTGAGATTTAATCAGTAACAGTAACAAACTAGGCATTCAACTTAATTTCTGTACTTAGTTAGTACTAATTTGTACCAGATGTCATGTTGTGTATGTATTCCAGTGTATAGAAATTAGCATAGTGCTAGTTTGGAGCCTTTACTGCACTTGAAATAGAAAGGCATCTGTATGTGCTCTCGTGTATGTTTCTTTTTCCATTTGCTGGACACACCCCTGGATATTTTGGTCAGCTCACCAACAACACACACTACTTATTAACTGATGTTACATCTCATATTTGAGTAATTAGTAAGTGATCACATCTCTGTCTGGTATTATAGGGCATAGTGTAAGCTAAAATTGCATTGGCTATATTTTTATCAAGGGCATGCATTCACTAATATCTAATGGGGGCCTGCTTATTGCTTAGAAATAGATTATTAAAAGTGTTGCTTTAAGTATTCGTTAAAAACAACAGTTAAGACTATTGCAGACCATGACTATTCCATTCATAAATCACACTCAGGACACACACAGTGAAGTGGTAAACACTTGCCCTGGCTATTCTCAATGCTTCAGTTTATACTACCCCTAAAAGGATCATGACTAATACAATGTGAATACTAAAGGAGTATTTTTAGAATAGCTGGACAACTCTCAGTTTTCTTCCAAAGTTTACCCTGTCCACCAACCTGAAGTGTTTGTGGAATTTCACATGTTGAGTAATGGAAGATTCCCACTGGTCCCCCACAAGCAGAAACGTCAGTGCCTTTGTCTTTTAAAGAACTTTCATGGTGTTGCGGTTTTGTTGTGTCTGAAATGAGAAAGCCACTTTACCAGTGACCTAATCAGTTGACCTGCCAATGAAGTGAACTGTGGCCATTTCTAGCTAATTTAATAAGAGCTTGGTCAGACAGGCAGACAGACTGTCATTCGAAACACCACCAAGAGACACTCCACGTAATGACTTAAACAGAGGGCAAAACTCCAGATGCTTTTTTATGAAGTCACTAGTGTTGACCTTTTCCCCTTTTTTCCTTTGACTAGGCACCATAGATAAGTTAGACCAGTTGCATGGTTTTCACAGCAAGAAAAAGTGACATCTCGTTTTCAAGGGAAACCAAGAAGTAGTTTCAGTAAGAGTCAGCGATTGAAAAGTCTCAGAAATATCAGTTTATATACCCTTATTTGAAAGGTTACAGTGCATGTTTTGTTTGTAATCAGGCCATTTTGCATTATATTGCTTCAAATTAGACTATATACTACATTCTATAATACTTCCAAAAGCACCATCAGAATAAGCTCAAATATTAAAACTACCAATCGTACCTGACTCACATTTGAGAAACACTGAGTTAGGGCACTTGACTTGGTTTCATTTTGTGGTGGTCCTATCCCTCTTCGATGACCTGTAGTCAGTGTGCTGAGCTGGACAGATTCCAACAGTCTCAGTAATCGCACATACATTCCTCTCTCAGCAGGGCACGCTTGGGTTTTAACTTACACACATGCAAATCTACTTTAATTTGAAGCCCGTGCATATTTTAAATGTACATGTTTTCTTTACACCTAGTTTCCATGCTCATTAAACTTGTATAGATTTTTCAGAGCTTGGCCTTTCTGTGTCTGGCCATTGCGATTGTATGATTTCCGTTTCCCACAGTATTTAATTGCATGTCCTAAAGTTACTTTACGTTTCAACATATATTTTAGTACATTTTTTGTTTTCTCTCTCTTCAGGGCGACTGTGGTTGCGGTGGCTGCCTTCCTGGATGCCTTTCAGAAAGTGGCTGACTTGGCCACCAACTCACGAGGTAAGAATATGCATGAACTGGAACTAGGAGGTGTTTCATCTAAATCCAACCTCAGCTACATCTATTGCCTGTTTTTTCATTGTTTCTGCAGGCGCCATTTTAGGAACTTGTAACCAGTCAAGATAATATAATATTTGGTTCTGAATTGTTGATTGCAATGGCAACGGTGTTAATTTTTTATCACTCCACAACCCATTGATAGATGTCAAACAATCGTGACCTCATTGAATGAGGTCTTCTTGAGATTTCCATAGTGACATGTGCCTCGGAAAGTTCAGTCTTTATCACCACAGCTCTAAAGCCTACAAGCTGTTTGCTTTATCGTCTAGGTAGTAAATCTGTCCAAACACTGCTTGAAGTTGGGCCACTGCCTTTGTCTATGGTCTTTAACCTATTTTGGCTCCCCTCCCCCCACGCCTCTTCTCTCTTTCTCCTCCTTTACCACATCTGGGTTTTGAGGTTGCTCTGTGTGTGGAGGGAGAGTGCATGGGCCCATCCTTCTTCAGCCCTGACACCTCCAACCACCACACGATACTATTAATAGGAGCTGAGATAAAACGTTTATCAGTGCCGTCGCAGTAGGGAGCGAAGACAAGCAGTCATCAGTCACTTCCTTATTCTGACTCTATAAAGCTCCATGTTTCTCAGTGTTTGTGTATCACTGGCATTATAAATGGTTTGTGCGAAAGAGTCAGGAGCTAAAAGGTGCTGCGTCATCGCCCATCTGCTGTGCCACCTCTTTCTTTCACCTCCCTGTGTGATATACTGAATCACTATTGCGGACGTGCATGTTGCTTTCTATTCGTCCAAATTAGTTTACTTGTGCGACTTTGTTTAGATTTACCCTTTTTGGATGATATGGATATGATATGTTCTGGAACATTTCGGCGTACACTGGCTCTTTTCCGACTGTGATTTTGCAAAGGTTTTATACCACGTTAAATCAGCTCTCTCACTCATGAACTCTTGGGACTAGCACAAACAGCAGCCAAGTAAAACTTGTAGTGCAGGCCTTTCTAATTTTATTTATCACTTTTTTATTTATCTTTCTTATTCTGAGCAATATAGTGAATTTATATGTTTAAGATAATACAAGCAGCTAATTTATATACTGGAGGGAGAAAATTCAATTAAGAGGAACCACCATAGAGCTCTTATTTTGGGAAAGTTTCTTCAGTCTGTACAAACACAAACATTGAAGCAATCCGTTGTTGTCCATATTATAGTTTCACTCCTCAAAGACACATTATCTCTCTTTCGGATGATGTCACTGCAGAAAAAGCATAAATTGTGACATTCTTGCAGAACATTCTATAGCACCTCCAAAATGTGAACTACTAGGCCTCAGGAGTATAATTTTACACATGATGATTTGTCATTAAAGCAGAACTAAATGTACAAGACGTTTGTTATGTGTACGAAACAGACATATAGTGCCTGGGGTCATAATTTTTTCTGCTTTGGGAACATATCAACTTACTGTATTGTCCAACAACATTACAAAGCATGAGAGCTGTCTTTGCGGCCAGGGAGCTTTGATGTAGTCCTGCACCTGGATGGAGACTATGTTAGATGTGTTTTTTCCATTGTAGATGAGACATTCATGATATACTTTTTTTTTTTTCCAAGAAACTTTTTCACATATCTATTTTGTACATTTTTTTATCATGGTAGTGGAAAACATAAATAAGACAGCACATTTATGGTTATTGTACTAAAAGGTATCTTACTGACTAATTGATAGACCAAAGCTTTAGGGTGCCTTTGTATTTGCCTCTAATGGTTTTGCGTTCTGATCTTGGCAGTGATTGTTGCTCATAAAATGGAAAGGGCGATTGTGTGAACTCAGCCCACTTCAGTATCTTTTAGCATATCTCTTGTTTATGGCTGTTGATTGATCTGAGTTTAAAAAGCAAATTACTTTCAGTTTGTGATTAAAATCCAGTTAAATTCAAGTTAAAGAAACTATGTAAAATGTAATAAAACATCCATCTTGCATATAATTAGCAATATATTAAAGAACATGTTTACAACTTGTATTTAAACTCAATCTGCATCACTATAATGGCATGTGGTTTTGCAAAGAGCAGAGATTTGTTTTCACACAAGCCCAGAGAACAAAAACAAGCATGTAAAAACCTGTTGAACCAAAACAGATTGTGTTTTTGTTTTGAACCTTCCCACACAGTCCTAGCCTTATAGATCTTTATTTACTCACAAAAGACTTTGACGTTGTTCTGATGTGGTTTGAATACAGAAAATACCTACACACATACTACATCAAGACATTGTATTGCACAGTTAATAGGCATGGTATCTGATTTTTACTCTCTTTAAAAGTTGGTTTTAAACAGTTGCAGTGGTCCAAACTTATTCCTCACTTTGTTTAACTCATTTACTCACTCCTAACATCCTAATTTCTTACTGAGGTCTGTAAGGATGTTTCACATCTTTGCGCCATGCCACTGCTGACAACTTGCATGGCACTTTTTGGTTCACTGATGATAAAATGCTTTATAGTTAGATGCAGACAACAGAAAGCAATCTCATTTTGACCCTACAAGATGCTTTTACAATGTAGGGGAGCAAGACAGGTTTGCTTTATTACATGAAGAAATCTTATACAGCCCCTTTAGCTTGCTATTCCTTATTTAAATTCTCAGCAGGGAGCCCAAGCCCCTACTGTACTACTGCTTTCACTGAGTACAATGTTGTAGCTTCTACCAATCATAATGTTAGCATGCTGGTGACGTCCAGCGCTACCTGCTTCCTTACGGCATTTCATTCATCAAGTACGTGCAATATTGACATAGTGGGCGAGTAGTGCCATTTCCTTTTAGTCAGGCACCGTGAAACAGCTGACAGCAAACAGGCAGTGCACTAGGATGACATCATATGGGGCAGAAAATCTCCAACATCACACAGTTAATAATAGTTGTAAAATATATTATAAATGGTCATATTAACAAATATAAAATTATTATGTTTTCTTTATTCACACCAGTCATAATATAATAATATAATAATAGTTCATGGTTATAAATAGCTTAGGCCTTGTAACTTGGGCTCCCAGCTGCTTGGACTGTGTCTGTACAAGTCTGATGTGTGTTGATGTGTATTTATAAGCATATGCGTAAGCTGGGGGGGTATCTTGATCCCAGTGGTCCTGTCAACATACCCAGAAATGCGTAGGTTTGGACACGTCTTTATCTGCAGACTTGAATCAGACACCTGCCTCAAAGCTTACATGTGCTAGCTTGTTACTACTACTTGGGAAGTCAAAAACCCATATCACGCCTCTAATGTGTTTTCAAAGGTGATAATTACAGTAGTTGGAAAGTGCAGTCACTCATCCAGTTATTTGAGTGGTTATGGGCAGAAGTGAATTGGCAGCTAAGTGTTAAGATGGAATTAAAACAGCTTATATTTGTACTGTTTCAGTCTATGCCGTGTGACGGGTGATTAAATGTTTATCTTTGTTGTGGAAAGGGTAAACGTCATTCATCCTTGTGTAGTAGTTGAAATATCATTAGTGCCAGTGCTCATGCCAAAATACTTCCTGTCTGGCCTCAACAATGTTCTCTATTGTTATGTTTATAGTTGAAAATTGTAGACATCCAGCTGCTATTTATGAACCTCTTTGCCTTGTGCTTGACTTGACCAGTTACATTAACTCTGTCTCAGAAACACTTGAGAACCTATAGTGGTTTCTTTCTGTCTTTTGTTCTGTGTCCAGCTATAGCCTATTGTCCAAGCTCTCTCCCATGTCCCATTAACTTCCCTGCTGTCCCTCCTTATGGAATACTTTAGTTCCACTGAGGCCCAGGGAGCCTACAATGGAACCTGAAAATAACTTAATTCCACAATGCTGTTGTCCAGGAAATATTTAAGCTCTTTTAAAAAAAATCTATACATTTTTTATATGCATAGTCAAAAAGATGAGAACAAAAGTTCTATCTTTTAGATTCCAGGCATCTGCTAATGCACTTGGTGCCATCGCTAATCCGAGGCAAAGCTGCAGCCAACTGTGAACTGTTATCTCTGCCTGTCAATTTTAGTGCCATGGAAAAATATTGTTTTCTGAACTTTGATGTATAAGGGAATAATTAGGGAACCACTACAGCAGGATTCTAAACACAAACTTTGTATCTGTTTATTTGAGATTTATATGTCACACAAAAGAAGTGATTGAACTTTGAAATCACATGTTGGTCTTAAAGATAACAGCAAAGACTTTGTAAGCCCCATGCTCATGTGTATATATACAGGCAGGTATATACATGAAAGACATCTATATGACACATTTATTAGTGGCATTGACACTTGACCTCCTTTCTTTCAAACTGCTGTGGGATCCTGCTTACCATTGTCAAGGTTCAGTGCAGCAATGTAGAACAAACCTTTTCCCATTTTATTTACAGTAAAGATGTAATCCAGATGAAATTATTGTTGGTAGGATTAGGTTTCATTAAATTACAGTTTGCGCTTTGTGCTGCCCTGCAAGTCATGAGATTCAACTTTGCACAGACATGTCATAGATTGGCAGAATGAACTTTCTATGCTTTCAGTATTCTCTTCAACACTCAGACCCCACACCACTCCAAAAAACTTTCCTCTCCGCTTCATGGCTTTACTCAGTGTTACGCCCTGAACTACTCCACTGTCTACCGACTATCTAAAAAGCCTTCTGTGCTGTTTTTTTTTTTTTTTTCAAGCCTCCCTCCTATTCCAGGGCAGGCGGTACATTTCCTGCCCTGTGTCCATATAGCAGTAAGACCTAGATTTGTCTCCTCGCTTCAATCCTTTCTCTGTTCTCCTGTGATTGCCCTGAACCAATCCTGAATAATCTCACAGATGACTGGAACCGCCAATTACACCGGTTAATGGGTCAAACACACTCACGCAATAGACACTCACACCAGCCCTCCGTGGTCGTAATGTGCGACCCAGTGGATTGAATTATCTGTGTCAAAGCAAAGAGGTTCACCCAAGTTGATTTA